GGAAAAAAAAAAAAAAAAAAAAAAAAAAAAAAAAAAAAAGTTAACTTGTTACCAACCCCAAATGTAAGCCCCAGATTTTTGACTGTATCACATACAAACTCCTGTGCCTGGATTTCAAGATCCTCCACAATCACCTCCCCTGCCCCAGGTATAATGGCACATAAGTTCCCAAGGACTCACCCATACCCCATCCACCCTCAGTTCTCTCTTCTGCTCTTTAATTCAAAAGCTAGGTTCATTCCAACTTTTTCTGTGGTTTTTATTCATTACTTTTGCTGAGCACTTTTCTGAACCAATCCTTTCACCAAAGCTGTTTACCAGAAATAACCCTACCTATCCTTCAAGACTAGCCACCTCCTCTCCTCCTGCTCACTACAGGTCAGTATCATTTCAGGGCCTCAGAACTGACCAGCATCAGGTACTCAATTAATATTTCCTGATTGATTCATTAGACGGTTGTTTTATCAATCACCTGGATGCATAAATGAACGACTCCCTATAAATTACCTGCTTATAGAAATGCAGTCTTCCCATCAGGGTTGCTCTTAATGCCATTGTCAACAGATAATGTCATTTCTTCTACTAAAAGCTCTTTGAGCTTCCTGACGTGCTAATGATCATGTTTTGGGAACAGCCTGAGGAAAGCTCTCCTTACCAGAATTGATGTCTCAGTTAAAACAAACGTCTCCCTCCTCCATTCTCCCTAGGCACGTATATGACCATTATAGCTCTTATCACAGTCTCCTTTGCATTAGAAATATTAATGTTGAAAATTCGTGGTGAATGGAGCAGAGACCACATTTCTCATCTGGGTATCATGATTATAGCTTGGATCAAGATAATATCACCATTCTCTTTTGGCAAAGTATTTACTGTTTGCATTAATTCTACCTAATTCTTATGTTTCTTTTTCCTGCAGCTCCATTTTACATCTGGCATTTTATTTTATTGATCTCAGCCATGTCCCAAATAGAAACCCATATACTTAAATTCAAAAGAAAACCTATTGACAGCAGAGTTAACTGCTGTCTAGTAAAAAATGTTTGCATTATTTACAGAAATAGGAACAGGAGCAGATTAATATAATTTTAATGTGAGGCAGGCTTCCTTAGACTGTATACAAATTGATTCATTCAACAAATTTCTTCTGAGAGTCTACCCAGTGCTGGGCACTATTTAGATCTGGGGAACAAAGTGGTGAAGGAGACTCACAACGTTTCTGCTCTGGTGGAGCTTATCTTCTAGTGGAGGGAGACAGAAAATGAGCAATAAAATAAAAAACAGATTTAGAAAATACACTCTTCTCAGATTTAACAAAACAGGGTAATATTATTGAGAGTGACCAGGGCAGATGGGGGTTAAAGTTGTTCCTGGAAGGCCTAAGGATATGACACCCAGGTGACAACCTTAATGACTAGAAAGAATCAGTGGTAGGCAGCATAATAGACCCCAAAGGTGTCCACACCCTCATCCCCAGAACCTGTGAACATGTTACCTTAAAAGGCAAAAGGGACTGTGCAAATATGACTAAATTAAGAACCTTGACATGCGGAGATTATCTTGGATTATCTGGGTGGGCCCAATCTAATCACATGTGTCCTAAGAGGAAGGCTGGAGGGTCAGAGAAGGAGAAATAATGATGGAAATAGAGATCAGAGTGATATGAGAAAGAGGGCATGAGTCAAGGAACACAGGCAGCCTCTAGAAACTGGAAAAGGCAAAGAGCGAATCTCCCCTAGAGCCTCCAGAAAGAGCACAGATCTGACAACACTTTCATCTTAGCCTTGTAAGACCCATTTCAGGCTTCTGACCTCCAGAACCGTAAGACAAAAAAATTTTGTTGTTTTAAGCCACTAGGTTTTTGGTAATGTGTTATAGCATCAATAGAAAACTAATATAGCATCATTGGCACTGTTCCTGAACATTTACAAAAGCAGCTCCAGTAAAGAGTTGATTACACCAGTGTTCAATGTCACCCTCCTCCACAGCTTGGTTAAAACCAAGGCACCTGCAGCAGCAGGACTGACACCCATTAGGTCACAAGGATCAAACTCCAAACACAGGACTTCCCAACCAAACCAAACTTGCAGTGGTGATCACTAAAATAAACATAAGTATGGTTTCCTTGCCCTCTGTTTAGTTTTCCAAGATTCAGCAGCTTGCCTTCCATACGCCTGGCTTATAAATAGGCCAAAGAGAAGAAATATGGTTACTTCTCTAGGTTATCTTGGAGAAATAATAAATTAAGTAGAATTACACTGAATTCCTGCTATATTAACAATGCAGCTTATTATTCAATGCCACTGAAGTGAGCCAGGATGGCTCTCAGGAAGTTAACCTCAGATCTTGCCTTTTTAGTTCAAAGAAAAAGGAAATGTTTTAGAAGAGAGAACTGGTATAATATCAGCATTTTCTTTGGGGAGGGAGGGAAGGGTGCCAACATACATTGCCAAAGAAAAATTCTAATATTTATTAACTTTAAGTTGAAGATTAAAAAGTGGTAATGGCTCTCAAAGATATCTGAAAAATAAAATTTTGCAGAAATGCACTCTTTCAAATTATATATAAGAATGATTTGTGATTTGAAAAATTACCAAACACTTCAGTATCATAGCATGATGTTGAGAGAATCCCTAGAGCTCATGTAATATGACATCCTTATATTACAAATAGGGAAACTGAGGCCAGCATGGGCAAAAATCACTTCCAAAGTCAAACAGTTGGCAGAGCAGGCATCTCACCTCCTGGCAGGCCTTTTCCATTATATTTCAACTTGTTTTCATTCTGCAGCTCAGGGGTATTTGCAGGTTTTACTGGGTTCTAATGAGCAATTATTATAATAGAAGCATTTTTAGAGTCATGAAAGTACTCTAAAGAAGAATTTTAGAGGATATGAAATCAAAACATGAAAAACAATCTTTAGAACACTGTTTTCATCAGAAAAGTCAGTAACATTACCACATCTGACACACAGCACATGTTCTAAGGCCAATCTAATTACAATCTTAGAAACTGAGAATTATAGTTAAAGATATACATGAAAATACATCTTTTAAGGAAAAAAATGACAGAGGTATGGTAAAGTATATGCGTGTATGTTTTAAGGATTGAGGCTGACATTTATAGAAACTGTGAAATAAAAGATTCAGGGAAGAAAAATGCAAAAATATAAAATAACTATCCAGATGGCAGGAACTCTTAATAAATCAATATAATTACATAAGGATAATTTTAATTTCTAATTTCAAAAATGAATCATAGACTTTTAGGACCAGAAGAACCTGATACAATATCCAGATTGAGGCCTGTTTATTATTCATGGGCAATAGCTGAAATTTAAATGTGAAATATAACCCCCCATGTTCCTTATGCGTTTTGCTTCTCGCAGCCTGTCCTCCCCTGACATCTTCTAGAGTCAACTAACTAGGGCCAACCTACATATCCCAGAGAGCAAATACAAACAAACTTTTCAAGACTGCCTTAATGATAATAATTTTTAAAGCAAAGTTGACATTAAAACATTAATGGGCAGAATCAGACTTTGAGACAAGGAGAAACACCATGTAGATTGGGTTGCTAATTAAGTCCAAATTTAATAATGAATCAATGTTTATCAATGGAGTGGTAGTATTACCATCAAATGGTATCATACAACATGATGATTGTGAAAAGTTAATATTATTAAAAAGAAGTGTTGAATGCATGTAACAGAATCTTTAGCTATTGTGTCCTAAATACGTCTTTGCCATTTGACTGCTCCAACTTAATTTTTTAAAAAATACAAGTTTAGGGCCGGCCCGGTGGCGCACTGGAGAGTGCGCCGCTTGGGAGTGCGGCGGCGCTCCCGCCGAGGGTTCAGATCCCATGTGGAGACCGGTTCCCACTCACTGGCTGAGCGCGGTGAGGGC